AGGTGGTCATGTAAAACCTCATTAATTAATTGCATTTGTACTCCAAATGGCATAACTCTAAATTGAAAATAACCAAGAGGGCAATTAAACACAGTTTTCCACTCATCCCTCTCCTTAATTCTGACTCGGTAGTAGGCCTCTCATAGATCTAACTTTGTGAAAATCCTTCCTTTACCTGCTGGGCCAGCATGTCCTTCATTAATGGCAAAGGGTAGAGATTTTGGACACATACCCTGTTCAGGTTTTTAAAATTCACACACAAACAAAAGGAGCCATCTTTCTTTTCTCTGAATAAGACTGGAGCAGCCACCCGGTGTCTAGCTGGTTCAATGAAACCCCTCTCCAAATTCTTGTCAATGAATTTTCTCAATTTGTCCATTTCTCTGGGGGTCATGGAGTAAATCTGAGGCTTAGGGAGTTTTACTCCAGGGTCAATGCTGCAAATGGTGGGTCTGTGTGAGGGCAACTTATCTGAAGATTTTTCACTGAAAACATATTTCAGGTCCCAGCATTCCTTTGGGATCTTTTCCTCCCCTTCAATTTTTTCCTGCCCTCTGGCTGCTAGATTGGGGTCTGACTTATTCAGTTCTGGAACCCCTTCTTCCTTTTCAGGGGGTGTAGCAGATCGGAAGCATAACCAACCCTTCCTCCAATTTATGTGTGGGTTCCATCTATGCAGCCAGGGCAATCCCAATATAAGGGGTTGGTCCATTCCTGGAGCTACAATAAAATACTGTCTCTTGGTGAGTTCCCATCCACATCTCAATAGGCTCAGTAACAAAGTGAGCAGGGCTCCCGCCTGCAATAGAGCCATCCAACTGGCAAAAAGCGATTGGGATTTTCAAAGTTTTTAGCTTAAATTCCAATTTCTCTACTATTTCCGGGCTCATAATACATTGTGTGCAACCGGAGTCTAAAAGAGCTAGAATTTTCTCTCATGCACCAGAAGAGAGCACTCTAAGCTCAACTGGAATAGTCATGGGTCCTGAGCGGGAACTTACCCAGCGTTCATCGTCAGAGTCACTTCCTTCCGAAGAGCTGGGGGTTTCCTCCCCTCCTTCCACAGGGTTGAAGAGAGGCTGAGAAGATTCCTCCCCTTTCAAGAGAGTGTCTTCTCTCTCTGAGGGGGGGTGGCTTTTGGGTCATCTTGCTTCGGCAATTAACAGCACGGTGCCCTCCTTCCCACAGCAGAAACACATGAAGGGCTTTGGCATGCTTGCAGATCCACCTTTCCCCCCTCTCGGGGCTCCTGGGGGTGTGTGCAGGGGGGGATTTTTCACCCTCACATTCCCCTTGGTAATTCAGCCTAGCCAGGTCAATTTCTACATCAGCAGCCACTTCACACCAGGGCTGCAATCTACGGGGAGGTCTCCGATTCACACAATGCTGGTAAATCTCTTTGTTAACCCAACGGTGAAATGGTCGAACAATGCTTCTTCAGACCATCCCCTCATAAAAGCTGACAGCTCCCGAAATTCTTGAACATAATCAGCTACTGGCCGTTTCCCCTGGGTAAGAGTTTTAAACTTAATTCTTGCTCTTCGCTCTGTGAGGGGATCATCAAAGCATTTCCTCAAAGCGGCCATAAACCCATTAAAGTCTCTCAATAGTGGGGAATCAGCATTGTGCAAACCCACCATCCAATCTGCCACTTTTTTTCCCAAAGCCATCATAATAACTCTTACCTTCGCTTAATCAGAAATCAGTTCATCGCCATACATTTGCATGTAGTTCCACGCTTGAACAAGGAAGAAACCTAGCTCTTTTGGTTCTCTGCCATATTTTACACTTAAAGGGGGAACCTTAGCCATCTGGTGTCTGCGGGGGTTCCCCCCCCTTGGAATGTTTCAGGGTCGCTGCTGGGTCATCTTGTTCAACTCCCCCTTCAGCCCCTCCAGTTTCTCTCGGGTCAGCCAAGGTATATCTTTCCTCTGTCTCAGTTTCTCTCTCCATCTCACTGTCACAGGCCCAGCATCTCTCCCACGCTCCTTCGAAAAGTTTCATCGCTTGGGACATCATAAGGTTCTCCTCCTCAGGATCCCGCCAGTCAGCTGCTGGTTTTCTGCATCTCCTCATAGTAATCCCAGTCAAAGGTTCTTCAGGGTCCCCTTTCCGTCCCACTCCCCAAGACCACTTGGGTCAAACAGATCGTTCCTCCAAGTGCAGGCCAGTCATCTGCTCCGTCTACGATGGTCATGCAGCTGCTCCCATATCTTCTTCTTGATCACTGCCTTGGTGGGACATCCTTCAGGTTTTGGGTGCACCCCCCTCGGAAGGTGGCAGCTCCGGGATGGGTGCGAGATGAGATCCAGCTTAATGTTAATTGCTACTTCACTTAATAATCAAGAAAGAAACCACTCAACTCCATTTTGCAGAATTAAGAGTACTTTTACTGA